ATCCCTTTCCAACTTTGTTTTCTCTGCTCCAAATGTTCAGGTTTGACCTGACAAAGCATTCAGAGCTCAGTGTTTTGAAAGAGAACTCAAAAATTTCTGAGACAAATAAACTGCTTATCCTTTAGGAAGTCCTAAATTAATTACACATATTCATTGAAATATATTCAATAATGTTAAACATCATCATAAAAAATTCTTCACCCTCAAAAGGGAAGATAAAGAATGAATATTTTAATGGAGTAAAAAATGAACTACAGGTCAATTCCTGTGTCTTTTTTAATGATATCTTGGGATATTGTGCCCAATGAAACCACTGTTTTTGCTCCTTCCTAGAAGCAGAAGAAGAACTGGAATAACAATTTGTCATTATTCATTGGAAAAGAGTTACCAGGCAGTAATCTCCTTGTACCTTTTTGATATCAGTAAACTTTACTAGGTAGTGGAAATTTGTACTTTCCATTAAAAGTACAAGACTGGAACCAAAGGTCAGTCTGCTGTGCTAACCAAGTGCTTTTCCACTGACATTTGTAACATTGGATAAGCATTTCTGCTTCTTTTTGTTCCTTGCTATTGTTCTATACAGAAACTTCTGACATCATAATTATTCAAAACCACTTCTAGCTGTGCAGTCCTGGAGGAAATCCCCCTCCTCAGCCTTTTTGCTATGTAGTGTTGCAGTTGTTATACTGCACTGTAGTGGTGTTGCGGGTTAATCCTGGTGGGCAGCTAGGCACCACACAGCGGCTCACTCACTTCCACTCCCTTCACCAGTGGGGCAGGGGAAGAGGAAAGGGAAACTTGGGGGTCAAGATAAAAAAGTTTATTAAGTGATGAATAAGTGGAAAAAGAGAGAAGAAAATGAAACAAAACAAGTGATGCAAAGACAACACTCACCACTTCCCACGGGTAGAATGATGCCCAGCCATTTCCTGAACAAAAGATGTCTAACCTGCCCCTAAACCCCTCTCTTTTCCTTTTAATTTCTAAGCATGATGTTACATGCTATGGACTATCTGTTTAGTTCGTTCAGGTCATCTGCTCAGTTGTGACCCCTCCCAACCTATTGCACTCCCCCTGCCCCCAGTCTATTCATTTGAGGGGCAAAGAGAAAAACAGAGGCAGCCTTGGTGCTGTGCAAACACTGTTCAGCAAGAGCTAGAACATTAGTGTCTTATCAGTGTTTGGGTTAAAAATCTAAACCACATGTGAGCTGCTGTGAAGAAAATTAACTCTACCCTAGCCAGGACAAATACAAGTGGGCCAAACTTTTCAATGTTTCGTCTAGGAGTGTCACTTGGCTGTGGAAAAAACAACTCTGGTTATAGTGAACTAAGCGATAAGGTAGAGTATGCAAGTTTCTGAATTATACGCAAATATATTCAAGGAAGAGGACAAAAAAACCACTGTAGAATTTGGGCTGCTCAGTGTTTTAGCTTCCCATTAGCCACTTCAAATTGGCTCTTTTTTCATGCACTAGTGACATAAGCCTATGTCATGGTTTCAGCCAGGCTAGAGTTAATTTTTCGTCATAGAAGCTAGTGAGAGGCTATGTTTTGGATTTGGGATGAGAAAATGTTGATAATGTGCTGATGTTTTGAGTTGTTGCTGAGTAGTCAAGGACAGTCCAGCTTCTCGTGCTGCCCTGCCAGCGAGCAGGCTGGGGGTGCTCACGGAGCTGGGAGGGGACACAGCCAGGACAGCTGACCCAGGCTGGCCAAAGAGATATTCCATACCATACGACATCATGCTCAGTATATAAAGCTGGGATGAAGAAGAAGGAAGGGGTGGCGGTACGTTCGGAGTGATGGCGTCTGTCTTCCCAAGAAACCATTACGCGTGATGCAGCCCTGCTTCCCTGGAGATGGCTGAACCCCTGCCTGCCCATGGGGAGTGGTGAATGGATTCCTTGTTTTGCTTTGCTTGGGTGGGCGGCTTATGCTTTACTTATTAAACTGTCTTTATCTCAACCCACGAGTTTCCTCACTTTTACTATTCCGATTCTCTTCCCCGTCCCACCGTGGGGGAGTGAGCGAGCAGCTGCGTGGGGCTTAGTTGCTGGCTGGGGTTAAACCAAGACAGTCTGTGTTTCAGTAAGCTAGTTTTCACACTAGTAAGTGCAAAATCTCATGGTTTTTCATGATCTTCCCTGTATTATTGCAGCCTTGTGGTTGGAAAGAAGAGAAAATTGTGGATTAGTTCATGTGAAAATAACTGCTGCATTTGCAGAAATTCTATTACACAGCAATGCTCTGTATTATTGGGTGTGTGAGTCTCTGAGGATACATATAACTGCTTTCTATAGCACATAGTATACTAACAGTATATGAAAAAGCAGTTGGCTGGAAAATGTTAGTGAAGAACAATGAATTCTAGAGCTTTTTTATTAACCCTTGTGGGCTGTTTTTTCTAGTGCTTACACAGACACTTGACTATGGAGGGCAGGTTCAGGCCTTTAATCATGAATGCAGCCAGTTACCCACATGGAAAATCACAGAGGTCTCAGGGCTAACTGCATGACCAGAAGTCTTTCAGGTATTACAAAATCGATGACAGTAACAATCAATTGTATTTGTTAGATCAGGTATGAAGTAGTACAACATGCATGGAATCTGAATCATCAGTTTCCATGAAATATACTGCCTTTCAAAAAAACACATGTATTGTATCAGTCAGCAACTTTTTCAGAAAATACCTGCTTCTTTTCCTCGGTGTTCAGTTTTATACATCTGAAAAAAAGAGACCTTCCCTTTAAAAGGTTTTTATACCTTTACATTTTGTTACATAGCACTTGTAGTGTAATCCCATGAAATGTAAATCACTGGATGCAGAAGGGAAAACAAAGGGAAAACAAGCTGTGAGCAAAGAAAAATATAGTGGTAAGCAATCTGTATCCTACCTACGGATTGCAGGTATACCAGCTCTGCTAGCTAACTGCTTAGATTCATAGCAGCTTGGCAGATTCATGCCAGACAGGCACATTTTTCCTTTTAACCACATTTCTTTTCTTATTTTGCACTCCATCCCCATATGCCACAGCAAAATTATATTCTGAGTCTCTTTCTCTCTCCCTGTGACATCTTCATTGCTGCTTCATTAACCAGTGCACCATCAGTGCATTTCATTACAGCTTCTGTCCTGGCTTACTGTGTTGATGCTAAGATGCAGCTACAAACTGGCTATCAAAATGCTACTCTGTGTTTTAATCCTTCCTTCCATTCAAAAGAGGACGAAGTAATGCCTTTGGCACAATCCTAAATAAAGCCCATATTTTATCTATTACCCTTACTGGTCCACCAACCTGAAATTCACTGGGGAGGTATAGTGTGGGATGTGGCAGATTTATTTACCTATTTGTTTGCTGTAAAAGGCTGGGGGCATACCTCCTATGTGATCAGTGTATTAAGACAATTTAGACTGATTTTATGTGTGTGCCTTAAACTGACCTTGAAAAAGTACTGAAGTTAATGAAAGCATGCTTCAATTCCATGATTGTTAGGAAATGAAAAGGCCATGCTGTGATAGATGTCCTCCATGACATATACCTCCAGTTGTACCAGTAGGGAGGGGCCATGATTTAAATGCTAGCTGGTTTCCAATGGATTTCCTGGGTTGGAATATACACAATTCATTTTTAAGTGAAGAGAAAGATATAACTGCAAGTATGATAGGAGCACATAAATCAGTGCCAGAACACAGAAGAATAAAACAGGCATATTCAGAATCTCCTATGTAGCCATGAAAAGGCAAATAGGAAGCTTGATGGCTGCTTCAGAGCTGTCCAAATGTTACAAAATGTGGCAGTGTGTCTGGTGCAAAGTTTTAGGAGGAATGAGGCTAAGGGTGCTGTTCTTCTTATCCCCCCGCTGCTCCCTGCCAATTCCACTCCTCCCTGCTACGCTCTGTCAGAGCTCTCTACCAGTGCTGCATGTTAGGCAGCTGCGAGGCTGCATCTGTTCTCTGTTTTCCACACAATTAGGGCAAAGAGAAAAAATATAAATAAGACAAATTGCTCTGACACTGAATTCTGTGAAAAACTATGTCTGAAGTTTATAATTTTGTAGGAACTTTGTGCAAGATTGTCTCTTTTTTTTTAAATGTGATTTTCCTGGATTTTTTTATTGCTACATTTTTATTACTAATAATAGGTGGCCTTATTTTTCTTGTAAATACACAAATGGCTTTCTGTCTTGCACAGATCACTTTTTGGTTTGGGGAGGGAGATGTGAAAAAAGAAGTGAAGTGAGGAAGGAGAAACTCATGTCATACTAGATACAGACAAGGCAAATCAGTAGCTAATCTGTAAAGGACCATAAGAAAAGACTGTGACTCCTCTTGCATTAATTGAGGTACAGCACACAGTATGTACAGCTGTCACTGCAAAACTCATTAAAATTTTCATTATTCTATTATTTATATTGTAGTTGTAACTGAAGGTCCCAGTCAAGAACACAGACCAATGTGTACTCATAAAAGGAATCAGTATATTATATTACTATTATTAGATTGATAAGGACACGGACTCAGCATGGTCAGGCTGCCATCACCAAGACAGCACCCTGACAGTGGACTCCAGTGGCAGCAAAAATAAATGAATGTGACTTGTGATGGTGGAAGACACAGCCAGTTTGCAGAGAGAACATTCAAGCAAGAGTACCTCACTCCGAGATGAGAAATGGCCAGTGAAAACCACACATAGACTGAAGGATGACATCGCTTTGTACCTTAGTTTTTGCAGTACTTCATTACATAATTATCACTTACAGGCATCATAACAGAAGTAGCTTTCAGGCTGAAGAATAAAGCGAATGGCTGGGATTAAATCTGCAGGCCAGTGTAAAAGACTGGCAAAGGAGATTTAAGTAACAGCTACTTGGAAAGAAAAGGAAAATAGACATTTCTGTTTTGTTTTACTGAGTACAGAAATATAATTTATTTTCTAAAAAAAAAAAAAAATTCCCTGTGATTTTGAAATCTGATCATTTTGGTCTGAGGTGGGAATGATGGGTTTTGTATTACCCATCTCAATATATGCTTTCTTTCTTCTTCCCTTCTTTCTTTTTCAGGTTACCTGTGCAAATTTAACAAATGGAGGAAAAACAGAACTTCTAAAATCAGGAAGCTCCAAATCCACACTAAAGCATATATGGACAGAAAGTAGCAAAGACTTGTCCATCAGCCGACTGCTGTCACAGACTTTTCGTGGAAAGGAAAATGATACAGATTTGGACCTGCGATACAATGTCCCAGAAACTTATTCTGAGCAAGATCTCTGGGACTGGCTGAGGAACTCCACAGACCTGCAAGAGCCTCGGCCCAGAGCAAAGAGACGGCCCATTGTCAAGACTGGGAAATTTAAGAAAATGTTTGGCTGGGGCGATTTTCATTCCAACATCAAGACTGTGAAGCTAAATCTGTTAATAACGGGGAAAATCGTTGACCATGGCAATGGGACGTTTAGTGTTTACTTCAGGCATAACTCCACCGGTCAAGGGAATGTATCTGTGAGCCTAGTGCCCCCTACAAAAATAGTGGAATTTGACTTGGCACAACAGACAGTGATTGATGCCAAAGATTCCAAGTCCTTTAACTGTCGAATCGAGTATGAAAAGGTTGACAAGGCTACCAAGAACACACTCTGCAACTATGACCCTTCAAAAACCTGTTATCAGGAGCAGACGCAGAGCCACGTGTCATGGCTCTGCTCCAAGCCCTTTAAAGTAATCTGTATTTACATTTCCTTTTATAGTACAGATTATAAACTAGTGCAGAAGGTGTGTCCTGATTACAACTACCACAGTGACACACCCTACTTCCCATCAGGGTGAGGACCAACACGTGTCTGAGACTGAAGCCTGGGTAATGAAAGAGGTCATATGACAGGGCTGTAACCTCAAGGAGGAAGGCCACATCTATTGCCTGGAATGTGTCTACCTGCTGCTGCTGATGTCAAATGGCTGCAAATATGTTAGTGGAAAACAATCTAATGTAATTTTTGCCCAGTCAGCTCCATGTACCAATCTAGTTGTAAATCACTATGGATTTGAAATAAAACCATACACATACACAGAGACACACACTCTTTTCTGCTCACATTGAGATTCCTGTTAAGAGAGCTTTCATTGTCTGATATATAAGGTTTCAGGATAACCTATCATCAAGCAAAATGGATTAACTAGACAGAGAATGTTTTCTAACGCAGACTGTTATGGAAATCTCTTTGAAAGTCCTTTGAGTACACGTCAGTCAGTAATCCCCACTCATGCATTCTACTGCTTGGAGTAGCTGTACTGGTAAATAATGCCGTAGGAGTAAATACTTGTTAAAATGGGAAAAATGTGTGTCTAGAGTTCAGCATTCCTTATTATATGAACACAGCAAAGCATCGTGACTTTTTTCCGGCATACAGTAGGCACATTCGAGGTGGTGTTAGGTGGCTCTTTTTCCGTGGAGCGAGCCTGTTACTAGTAAAGATGGGCAAACATTTGGAATTTACATGTGGGTAGACATTCTGGTTTCATGTTTCTCTGACTCTTTAAACTCTGATTCTTTAAACCTGGTTGAGTTTAGGCCAGATAAGCTACTTAAAAACTCTCTAACTGATCTCTAAGAAGGAAAATGCCTGGCGGAGAACATGTAAGTTATAAGTGGCTGTCTTATCTTTATTACAAAATATTGTAACAAATTCAATATCCTAGTCTTCATTTGTATGAATGGTTTGTATTGTACATAATTTAACCAGTGTTATTTGAGCTGCTTATTAATATTAACTTGTAATTGTCTTTCTGCTTGTTATTGGTTAAAAACAATCAAGGAAATGAGGAATCCATTTTATCAATGTAGCTGTAAACTCCATTAAAAGACAAAACTATGTACAAAGCATTTATTCAGCTAAAGTATTGTTGAAAGCTATACATATACAACATTACAGTCTGTCTGTATTTAGATATTTTATTTCCAGAGGAAAAAAATGAATTGTACATAAAAATAAAAAATCTTAAAGTTGAGTTTCAATATGTACTGTGTAGATAGTAGTTTAAATGGTTCTGAGAAGCGGATAACACTCCAAGTCTGACATGGTTTTCAATCTTGTCTCTTTGCATATGTACATATATACACATATATTTATAAATCTTTGTGTGTGCATGCTTCTGAGTGTATATGTACGTGTGTGTGTGTGTGCAAATACACAGAATATACATGCATATATGTAGAGTATATAAAAATTTCTTGGGCCCATTATTAATGAATAATGATTCATTATTGTTTAGAAGTGGGAAAACATGGAGTCACTCTCTGTGTACACAGGCCTGCCTTTGCCTTAACTCTAGCTTCCTCTGAGGCACTGATTTCTCTTTATGGAATGAAGAGATCCCTTTTTATGGTATGAGGGAATTTTCTTCCTATAAACAAAAGGCTCATAGCTTTTATATATTTTTTTTGTTTGGTGTGTAGTGGCATACTTTACCCCCAGCATCCAGATAACCAGCAACTATAATAAGTTTATGCCTAAAAGAAGGCTGCCCAAAGAAGAACTCAGTATTTCATCTCATACTTTTCAGAATTATCATTCCTGGCAATGCTGTCTTCTCCCTTCCACCCTCACCCCCAGGTTCGGTGCTCTTATGTCAAAGCTGTGAATGCAGACATGGGTCAGCTTCCAAATATGCACAGCATCATGAACAGCTTCTCCAAGGTCCCAATAAACACTCCACTAATGTTTCAAAAAGTGAGAACTTTGAAACAACTTCCACTTACGGTTCTCTCCTGC